CATTTAATACACCCACTAACGATTAACCAAGAAAATAATTGAGAATTGAAGAAAATATTTGTTGCAGCTGTGATTTCTGGTTGTAAATGTGTCACTTTGGGGTGTAAAACATCACAACTTTATCCATTTATTTGTCTTTTTGTTATTTATGATTGTTTCTGTGTGATTGTTGCACCGCTGGCTGCATAGCTAATTACCCCGCGGGGATAAAAAAAAGACTCCTTGAACCTTGAACCAGCATCAAACTTTGTTAGATTTAGGAAAACAGTGCTGCTCGCTGCTTGAATGTAGAAGAAAATGCTTCATGCAATATTAGTATTTAAGTGATCAAGAATCAATATGTTAGTCTGAAACCCAATCAGGAGATCCATACTAAACATCCAGCCTTACTTGTAAAGCTCATTTCCTCATCTTCCTCACCTTCCTCATCGTCACTCGTGAGCTTGTTGGTCAGCCGGTCGACCTCAGACGAAGCCGTCAGCATGAAAGCGAAGCCCATGAAAAGAGACGTGTTTTGGGGCAGCGGGCCGTGAGACTCTGCTACGTCGCAGGACTGACCCGGGAGGTCGGTGCCGCTGCCGGAGGTGTTGCACACGCCGACCCGCTGGGCTGGAGACATAAATACACGTGTTAAAACAGAGACTGCACGAACAGGAGGAAGTCCTTCTAAACGACTCGCTCACCCAAATCACAGATGTAACGTCTCTTTTTTAAAGCTATTCTGAAGCCACGTAGACAATCACCAGAGTAACTGAACTGTTTCTAGAAGAGAGGAAATTCTCAATCTTTCAAGCATCAAACATGCTGTAAACTAGAAAATGCACCCGTGAACTGCACCTTCTATCTTCCCTCCACCTGTGGACCAACACCGTGATAACACTGGTGGCACATTATTTATTACCGAGTCGGCCTCAGCAGCAGCAGCAGCAGGATGGACTCAGGACGCCAAAATGTCTCAGTTATGCTCAGTACAAAAGTCAAACCATTTCACATGAATAAAAACATGAAATCACCACTTCATAAAACTGGTTTTAAAACTCTTAAAAGCAAATTAAAAAACAGCACAATGGCACACAAGTTAAAAACACATTAAACACACGACCTAAATCATTTGTATAAAAACTGTTTTTAAAAAGTCCTACAACAACTACACTTTAAACCCTGAATTCTTGAAGCTAAAACCAAACTTTCTCCCTCCCACCCCCCCTGGTTCAGACCCAGTCAGGGTCCCGGTGAGCGGGTCTCCGTACCGGCTCTGGCTCCGGCCCCCCTGCGGCCTCTTTTAGCCGCCGACCGGCTGTCGTCGGCGCTCAGCAGCTTCCTCTTGCCGGAGGGTCCGGGGGTCCGCGGGCTGCTGGAGGAGCTGCGGTTGGGGGTGTTCTGACCTCCGGGGGCCCCTCGGCGCCTCCTCTTCCCCTCCACCAAGTTATCTGAGGAAAATGATAATAAATCTCATTATTATCCATGAGGTTAATTGGTGATTCTAAATTGTCCGTAGGTGTGAATGTGAGTGTGCTTGGTTGTCTGTCTCTAAGTGTAGCCCTGTGATAGACTGGTGACCTGTCCAGGGTGTCCCCTGCCTTCACCCTAAGTCGGCTGGGATAGACTCCAGCCCCCCCATGACCCCAATGAGGATAAAGCGGTGTATAGATGATGGATGGATGGATGGATTTGGACCAGTTCAAAGTTGTAAATATGTGGTTGCTGTTCCTAATGCTGCCGAACAATAGTCCTGCTGATGTAGCACTTCTGCCTTTATGAACCAGACTTAACACTCCAGCCCTTCTCCATCAGACACTACTGGGGTTCTGTTGCACATCATCCATCTCTCTCTTTGTTCTGCATCAGCTCTAATCAAGCGGTCCAATTCTTCATCTCTTAATGAAAGTTTGAGCTCCTGATTGAGCCAAAACATAAATAAAAGATGCTGTTTGAACATGTGCGGCGGCTCACCCAGGCTGATGTCAGAGGCCTTTGCCAGAGGCGTGGACGGTTCGTAGGGCCCGAGGCTGTGCTGCTCCCTCAGCTTGTTTCCCTGCTCCAGTGACAGGATGACGGCGGTTCGGTTGTACCACTGCTTCTGGCCCTCCTTCTCCACGCAGTAGAACAGATCCTGGCCCTCGGTTTTATGGCCCCTCACAACACCTGCACACACAAGACAGACATCCTCAGTGCTTCGGGCTGTAAAAACGACCGCATAGAACAGAGTGAAGAATCAGGTGCGATTTAGGAGGTGCGATACAATCAAGTGCTTGTACTATTGCATTGATGTAAAGACTGACAGTGGCTTATACATACGCTCAGAAAAAAAGATAAGACAAACACAAGATGGTCAGGTGTAAACTTGTTTCTAAATTTGGTGAATTGAGGTAGAATGAGCCATCAGTCAAACAGTAGGGTGTGCAAGTTAAGATAACAAATCATTGGCAAGAATATTTAAAGGTACAGCAGGCTGTGCAAAAAGAAAAAAGAAGGTGGGAGCCAGGTGCGATCAAATCACATCCTGGTGTAACCGACTGAGAGAGCTGGTGTTCGTCTGGAGCTCTGAAAACAGACACTGAAGGACTGGGCTGATCTGCACAGATTCAGTTACCAGTAGTCAATGGACAAAGTTCGATTTGACTTGATCCCGACTTGCTCTGAGGTCTTGCTGACATAAACAACTACAACACTGTGAGATGAAGACGGGAGCAGCTCATAGAGCCAGACTGCACAGCCTCAGGGCATGATGGGAAACATCTGGCTTTGGAACAGTCCTGAGAGGGACAGCTTAGGTCACCTGATGTATTTATGTAAAGCCTCAAACTTCTCTGATGCTGATTTATAGGAGAATTCATATCAAATGAATGAACAATGGACATAGATCACAGATGGCCTGAAGAGTATTTAAAAAGCTTTTTGTCATTAAAACTACTGCATGCGAGTGTCTGCAAACTCATATTTGTTGGAGAACATTTTAATAAATCGGTTTGTTTCTGGGAGTTCTTGTACAGACCGAAGGCTGCTAGAAACTGTCCATCTTGCCTGCTGACTTCTAGCTCTGCCTCCTGCTCTCGTCCATGAGGTGCAGTTCACTTCATACGAGCCTTTTACTGATGGAGCTGCATCTTCTGTCACCTCCTCACCTATACTGAAGTACTCGTCCTCCAGCAGAGCCGTGACCTCCGTCTCCAGAGGGATCGGATCACACAGCAGGATGTCTTTCCCGGCCACCTCGCACTCGTAGCCGTCGTCGAACCGCAGGCGGAACCTCCCCTCGCCGGCGTCCTTTATGATGCGGCCCGAGTAGAAGTAGCCGTTGGACGACCACTTGGCCACGACCCGCAGGCCCACGAAGCTGCTGCCGGCCGAGCTGGCCTCCTCCGGCGACGACCTGAGCGAGTCGGAGCGGCTGGGCAGCTCGTGGTCCGTGGGGCTGACGGGGAGGCGAGGAGGCAGCATGCGGCCGTAGGGTTCATCCTCCGAGGAGGACTGAGGCTGAGCGTGAGTGAACCTATGCAGAGAGCCAGAACCACCTCCCCTTAGAGGGAGAAACAGGGTGTTTAGAACACAGAAACACTGATTTACATGGCTCCTCTCATCTCATACGTACTAAAAGATGGAAGCTTACTTCATTGTATGTTGTTGAATCGTTCATTCTTAAGCATCAAAGCTCAAATCAAAGTTCTCTCAGAGTTAGAATGTCGGCTGGAATGTTGTGTTTACCGTCCGTCTATAAGGAGCTTGAATTCATTTGAACAACATCCAGTAAAAAAACATCTGATCTGGTGGAAAGTATGTTTGTTTTGCTCAATATTTCACAGCTGATTTAGGTTTTATGTGCAGATTCATGAATTTTAAATGAAGGTTCTACAAACCTTTAAAGTGAGCACATACTGCATTCTGCATGTCAAAATAACACATTTAGAACTTAATCCAAAGTGTCAAAATACTATAAAAGCCTGTTTATTTAAACATTTGTCAAGCTGCAGGACTGTGCAAGAATTTTCAGCTTCGTCTCTTCTGCAGCGAAACACGAAGTCCTCAAGTCATCGCCGAGTGCTAAACTAGTCCTCAATTAAAGCTGTGTGTGTGTGTGTGTGTGTGTGTGTGTATTGACAATTTTGCCACAAAAAGACCAGAAATTCTCTAGCTGAGATTCTAAAATGTGAGAATTTTCTGTCGTTCTCTACTGTACATAGCTGTACATTAACCATCTTTTCGGACTGATGTTTGGACAAAAAAAAAAAGCAACATGAAGACGATATTTTTTCCCACTTTTTCATCAGACTGCATGTAAACCAGATTTGTTTCTCATATCAGATCTTCACGACAGACACTGATGTTTCCAAAGTGCTCACATCAGGTTTGTGTGTCCTAACTAGGGCTAGTCTAGCTGACTAGTTGTTATAGTTTTGTTTTCAGAACTCACATGAATACGAGCAGGTACTGCTGATCAGTTCAGTGTAAAATAACTAGTTTCAGTCGACAGAATGTTGTTCTCAGTGTGGTAGCGTTCTGCTAATGACAGCGTGGATTCCTGCTCAGAACTTCTGTCACCTTGGATCTGACGCTGTTGTTGTGTCACATTGCAATCGACACTGAAGACACTTTAAAATCTGACTTGAGTCTCCTGAGCATCAACACTAAGCTGCATCTGGAAAACTGAAATCACATTTCAGACTTTCTCCAAAAGCGGTTTTAATTTTGTTTGAAAAAAATTGCATTTTATGGGTTTTTCTGCTTTGTAGTCATAAATGATCAATAAATAATCAATCTGAATAGAATCTGGAAGTGTCACAAAGCTGATTTTTGGGTGACTGTCTGAACAAGGCCGTTGAAATCTAAGAATTTAGGATGAATATTTTTTTCCAGATTTTTAGAAATTTAAAAGAATGAAAACAGCAAATTTACAAACACGATCAACAAACGAGGTCCTCGCTAAAATGATTCGTTAGTTCTCTAAGTGAGAAGATTAGTGATCGGAGAATTAGTGAAAAGAGGAAATGTAAAGTGAGTAGTGTGGATTGAAGCGGTTTTTCCGTCCGTGGTGTCTCTCAGCGAGCCTCAGGGAGACTCACCTGGACGGGGAGGAGCGGGACGGGGGCCGGCCCCTCCTAGCCCTTCCTCTGGTGGTCGGCGGGACGAAGGCCCGGGACCCCAGGGTGCCGTAGCGTCTGCTCACTGTGACCACTGACCCTGCCCTGTGACCCCTGTGACCCCTCTGATGCCCACCTCCCCTCCTGGGACTGCAGACACACAGAGGGGACGAACGGAGCCGGTCAGGTTGCACAGGCACTGATCTGGGGTCAGTCTGTGAATGAAAGCGGGTCTAGTGACCCCAGACCGGTGCCTGTGACAACATGCACCTGAAGCAGGCAGGAATCAGTGAATCACTGAGAAATTAGGTTGTTAGAAAGTCAAAGAAGGTGAAGGAGGGACACGTGAATCAGCATGCAGCGAGAACCGACAGCTAAAGCAGAGAGACAGAAGAGAAGCTGAGTGACTGACGGTACCTGAAGGATTTGGCTCCTCTGCTGGGCGGCATGATGAACTCGGGCCTGCTGAGGCCGGTGCTGTTGCTGGTTCCTCCGGAGCTGTGCTGCAGGCTGGACGCCTTGGACGACAGCGAGCTGATGTCAGCAAGGTCGCCGGAGGTCACCGAGCTGCTTCCTGTGCGGCACGGCGAGATGTCGCTGTCCAAGACCTGACAGTCCACCACCGGCTCCTCGCTCTCCTGGTGGCAGCACAACAGGACACGAGAAGACTTTAAATATGCAGATTTACAAGTTGCTGCCGTTATTACATGTTTTATAAAACACACATTCTGATGAAAAATTGTGAGCAGTGCTCCTCAAAGTGCTTTTTTTCACTCTGCAATAGAGCTGGTAGTCAGTTTGCTGCTGCTGTGATTCAGAGAAATGTGTAGAAAGTTCATTTTCCAACACATTAATTCGCTGAGGTCCGAATCCTCCTGTAGATTCCTTGTGCATATTTACACTCAGCCTCCAGTTTATTAGTTCCACTGAGGAGAAGATAACGTTGTCTTAAACGACAGCCCTGCCATGAATCCCACTGTAATGAGGTTTGTGTTGCAGTTGAGCAGCTTCCATGTACAGTGTGAGAGGGTTTCTGGTTTCTCCAGTCGGAGCAGCGAGTCGGTTACCTCGGTGACTGTGCGATCCACCTCTTTGCCGTCTTCGTAGTAAACGTCTGTGATGATCCGCGTGGTGGTGGTTCGGACTTCCTGGATGGTGCGTACGTGTCTGCGGTGCGTCGGCACTGTGGCTCTCCTGAAGGACGGAGACTCCGGTTCTCCCTTCAAAGACAAAATCAGAGCGTGAGCCGCACATGCGTCACAGACCTGAGCTGTAATTCTTTGCATAGAGCCGACTCTGCGTACCCGGCCAGCTGGGGAGCGAAGCCCCGGAGCATCGAAGCTGGTCTGCTGGGAAACTGTCCGCTGACGTAGCTGAGACACACAGGACAGAGATCAGCACCACCAAGACACGGTTCAGACTGCAGCTTCAGCGCTCGCACTGGCAGCGGCTTATTTCTTATGCAGCGTTTTTTATTGAGCACATTTAAAGCAAAAGCCGTGAAGCTGTCAGTTGTTTCCTTCTGTTCACAAATCTTCAAAGTCTGGATGTTGATGATAATCTGGTGATTTCTAAATCCAGCTTCAATGCAATAATTTGATGAGGTCATCCTTGATACTCAGCAAGCAGCAACGTCTACGACACAACTAGTCACTAGGAATTACGCACCAGGGATCAAATTTTACCAAGCTGGACCCTCATCCACTGGTCAGATTTATTCCACTTTAAGACTCAACCACAGACCTGTGCATGGAGCCTCTTTGGGCCTCGAGTGAAGAGGTTAGGCAACTTTTTGATTTGCTTTTCTAATCTCGCAGAATATTGAGTTATTCTTGTTGTCAATTGACCATTTTAATCTCAGAAATGTCCTCTTAATCTCTTAATATTAATCCTCTTAACTTGCTCTGTAATGTTGTTTCTCATTTCCTGCAATAAAAAAAATAGAGATAAACTACTGTACAGTTATTATTAAAGGGTTTATTTTATTTTTTTATTGCTGTTGAAAATAAAACTATGCTGTTTCACTCTAGAATGTGTAACGACTGATGAGACATTCTGCATTAGTTTAAGCAGACATGGAAGACTTTAGGAAAGTTCTAGTGCATCAAAAATCTCTGATAAAATTAAGCAAAGTTATTTAGGACTCGATTATATTTTAAATCAAATAATACGTTTGTAATAAGCGTTTGTGCTGCTTCACAGCTAACACACAATCTACAACCAGAACAACATCCTACACGACAAAACTTTCACTCATAAAACAGTCAACTGCATTTTGCACACAGGACTATTTATCTGTTTATCACTGGTAAACACTTGTTTGTATTGTTTTTATAGTGCTGGCCATTTCCCTTATTTTTCTTTATCTATTTCTTTGGCATACAGCCGGGACCCGAGACATAATTTCGTGCCATCTGATGCAGATCTATGACGACAGTAAAGATCCTTGAATCCATGAACTGTACTATGTGTACCTCCTACATCAAGAGATATTAGCAAAATGCCAAACTGTGCCAATTTGATGACATGGTAATTTATGCAAAACAAAAAAAATTCACTGATATCAAGTTCGGCTGAAATATACATGGA